CCAATGACCCACCTAGTCAGGTCACTTCCACTTAAGGAAGAAGCACGGCATCTGACCTGGTAGCACAAGCTAGTCAGGTCAAACTCACACCCACCCACACCCACTCATGTATTTATCTAACCTATTTTTAAAACTACACAACGTTTTAGCCTCTATAACTGTACTCGGGAGTTCCACTCATCCACAACTCTATTACCAAACCAGTGCTTTCCTATGTCCTTCTTGAATCTGAATTTTTCCAACTTCAAACATTGCTGCGAGTTCTGTCTTGGCCGGAAAATTTTCAGCACGCTATGTTTTCCATTTATACACCTCGATCATATCCCCCCTAATTCTACGTCTTTCGAGAGAGTGCAGATTCAGGGCCCTCAGTTTATCCTCATAGGGAAGATTTCTGATACATGGGATCATCTTTGTCATCCTCCTCTGTACGTTTTCCAGAGCATTTATATCCATTCTGTAATATGTTGACCAGAACTGAGCAGCATAGTTTAAATGAGGCCTAACCAAGGGTATATAGAGTTGAAGAACAACCTGAGGACTTCTATTATTTATACTTCTAGATATGAAACCAAGGATTCTGTTAGCTTTATTGCGAACATTAATGCACTGTTGTCTTTGTTTCAGATTACTGCTAACCAGAACTCCTAAATCCTTTTCGTAATCAGTAGTATTAAGGTCTACATTATTTAGTATATATATGGCATGGCTATTTTCCTGTCCGACATTTAGAACTTTGCATTTGTCTATATTAAACTGCATCTGCCACTTTTCCGACCATTGCATCAATCTATTCAAATCATCCTGGAGTGCTCTAGTGTCCTCATTAGAATGAATTGGATGGCCTATTTTGGTGTTACCAGCAAATTTGCTTATGTCGCTATTTATTCCCTCATCTATGTCGTTTATGAAAATTGTGAACAACAACCGGCCCATCACTGACCCCTGCGGAACATCACTTATGACGCGCCCTCATTCTGATTTCTCCCCGTTTAGCAAACTATCTGCTGCCTATTTGTCAGCCATGCCTTTACCCAGGAAAAAATTTCTCCTCCTATTCCGTGTGCCTTCAGTTTCCTCAATAGCTTCCGATGTGGAACTCTATCGAAAGCCTTACTGAAGTCCATATACACAATATCATATGAATTACCATGATCTACCTCTTCAAACACCTTAGTGAAAAAAGTTAGTAAATTCGTAAGACAGGAACGCCCATTTGTAAAACTGTATTGAGATTCATTAATCAATTAATGCCTATCAAGACGACTAAGAATTGCTTCGGCAATTATTGATTCCATAAATTTTCCCACTATGGAGGTAAGGCTTATTGGTCTATAGTTCGAAGCTATGGACCTGTCACCTGCCTTGTAAATAGGTATTACATTTGCCATTTTCCTCTTATCAGGCACTATGCCTTTTTAGTAATATGTTAAAATGATTAGCCAATGGTATACTGAGTTCCTCTTTACATTCCTTTAACACCCTTGCAAACAGTTCATCAGGGCCTGGGGATTTGTTAGGCTTTAGTTTCTCTATTTGTCTGAGGACCATGTCACTAGTTACCGCAATCGTGCATAGTTTATTATCGTCCTGTTCTACATAATCTATTATTTCGGAAATTTCGCTAGTATTTTCCTGGGTAAAAACTGAGAGGAAGCAGGTATTGAGAATTTCACACATATCACTGTCAGTGATCTGTCCAGAGTTACTCATAAGTGGGCCAATCTTGTCTCTAATCTTACTACTGTATACCTGAAAGAACCCTTTTCGATCAGTCTTCGAATCCCTTGCGACCTTAGCCTCATAATCCCTTTTTGCTTTTCTTATTCCTTTTTTTTTATTTCTCTTTTTAATTGAATATATTGATTTCTTAACTGCCCATCCCCCTCAATTAAGTTTCTTGGGTATTTTATATCATTAGCTATTTCATAAATTTTGAAAAAAAATTTCATCTATGAACTCTGGACCTCAAAGTTCTCAAAAACATTGATGAGAATACCAAGAGTTTAACTCTATCTTGGTGTGAAGAATAAGTGTACATAGGAACAGTTATTTGTTGGTTTTTCTGTAAATTTAAAATTTAAAATTGTTGTTCCCCTTAAAAATTAAAACATCTAAGAAAGGCAATGAGTTATTTTCTTCAAACTCAATTGTAAAATTTATAGAATGAGCTAAACTACTTAATTAATGAGGAAAATGGTTTATATATACATTCTTAGGCATAAGACACAAAATATCATTAATATATATATATATATATATATATATATATATATATATATATATATATATATATATATATATATATATATATATATATATATATATATATATATATAAAACAGCACAATTAGGAAGGACTGTGCTAAGCAGTCCATGTATAAATAACTAAGAACAGGTTAGAGAGGATTTTCCATCGCCATACCAAACTTCTGAGTGTAAAACTCGCCATTAAACACAAATTTTGCATCAACAATACATGATAGTAGGAACTGGCAATGGTAAATCGTAATTAACAAGTTCTTCAGATAAGAAACTTAATAAATCATCAACTGGATCTTTTGTAAACAAGGAAGTAACATCAAAACTAACCATGTTGAAATCATTTAAGTCAGTCAAGGTGCTTAATTTATCCACTAAATCTATGTTGTTTTTAACATTAAAGTTAGAAATTTTTCTAACAATTGGGCTCAAAATATCAACAAACCATTTAGACAATTTATAGGAAACTAAACCTATGGAGCTAATTATTGGTCTAACTGGATTATCTGGTTTGTTTGTTTTTATTAATACATATATGTAGGGTAAAGATGGATTAGTGGACGTAAATTTTTTAATTAATTCATCTTTGCCTTTCAGTAGACGTTTTATTATTTCATAGAAATTACTTTTAATAGTTTCTAAGATTCTTTCTAAGTTTAGAATAAGTTTCTGTATCATCTAGGAGATTATTCATTTTATCTTGATAATCAGTTTCTTTCAAAATTACTATTGCATTTATTTTATCTGCTTTAGTAAGATGTATTTTTTATTATTAATATGTGTATCATAAGATTTAAAGAATCTTTGAGGACAATTGGGAATATTTTATTTTTAACATAGACCTATATACTATCCCCTTACTAATGTTTATTTCATTATTGGATAAATCAGAGAATTTTTCGAAGTTACAAAAGTTTTTTGCAATTTCAACATTATTAAGTTTTTTAAAGTTGCAAAAGTTAGACCAAAACCTAGAACAGCAGTTGTATTTTTATCTAATATTTCATTTGATAAGTTAATTACAAAATTGTTATTAGCATGCTTTGTCCAGTCAATGTTTTCAATTTTAAGATGTCTAATTTCCTCTGCAGTTTATTTTTGAGTTCATTACAAATTCCTCTGAGTTTATTATAGCAATGATCTAACATACTGTTTCCATTCTGATGTGATGGCCTGATTAAAGGAGTATTTTTTGTTCCTCATTATAATTATTATAATCATGGGGAAGCGCTAAACCCGTAGGATTATACAGCACCTGTGGGGGGGGGGGAATGGAAGGTAATCAGGCTTAATTCAGGGAACTGGAGCACAGATCCAATTCCCTAGATCAAGAGCCCCTCACCAGCGTCAAGGAACCTTCCTTGAGGGGTTTTGTTCCTCAACATTTTGAATGCTTCCTTCTCCTGTAGTTTAGTAATTTCATTATGTTTCTGAAGAATAATTCTCATAAAATCATCAAAGGGACGATCTGTCATGTCAAGGAGTTTACTTGGTAAATGAGATTTAGGCAGAACTTGTTCATTCTGAGTTTTTAAAAAATTAAGTTTAATTTTAAGCTAGTTTTTTACTAACGGTTTTATGAGAGAGTCACGTCTACCTGCAGAAGAGCTGACTTGGGTATTGCTGATGGGATCTTGATCCAAGGGAGCGCATCCACCCTTTCCCTTTCCTTCCGTCAATGCTGATTACCTCTCTTTTTTTTACACAGGGTTTGACAAGGTTAAGGATTCCTAACTTTATTGGTAAGCTAAGAGCTGTTACCTACATCAGCTCATTTGAAAGCATTTTTATTGTTATGAGACATACAAGTAGGGAACAGGATGAAGTTGGAGCCATCTGTGGGCCAGCATTTTCATTTGATCAACTGACTTTATCTCGTTGACATCATTATCCTGTACAAATGTGTTCCCTACTCGAGTCATCCTGGGTATATATGATCTCAGATGGAGTGATGTTCTGGAGAAGGGTACAGCCAGAATGAAGTTGCTGCTTTCTGCCCGTCTTGTGATATAAAAGCTTGTTTCAAGCTGTCATCAAAGTGGATCCAAGTGTGGTACTTTGACAATATTGGCCTTGTACATAACAGTAAGGCCACCCACATCCCGCCTGTGTTGAAGGCTCTGCTGAAATGACAGATCTATCCAGGATGGGTTCAGGGGAGAGATGAGACGTCTTGCTCTGTTCTCTACTCTGTCCAGCAGTCGCAGATGAGAGGGGGGGGGGCAGGAAAACCAAGAAATTGGAGCATACTCAAGGTGTGAGCGTACTTGTGCCTCGTACAGAATCTTGCAACCCCTACTGTCAAGTAGATGCGAGATACGGCGAAGTGCTGTAAGCTTCCGGGCTGCCTTGTTTGCAAAAATTTACAACATGGTTCTTCATTGTTAGTTTGGAGTCAAATTTCACCCCAAGGATATCAACTTTTTCTCCAGGTGCCAACCCCCTCCCTTTCATCCTTACTACTGCACCAGCATTACCATCATGGTGCCTAGAGACGATCATCATTTGCGTTTTCTCAGGTGCAAATGTTACTTGCCATCTATTTTGATTTACCTATCTCTCTCTCTCTCTCTCATGTATATATATATAAATATATATATATATATATATATATATATATATAATATATATATATATATATAATATATATATAATATATATTGTATAATGTAAAATATATAAAAACATTGTCTCTACGTCCATATAATTGAAATAAAACCTACGGTTTTGGTTCATTGTTCATGTATTTATTTGCTTGCTAAGACATTTTACAAAATCTAAGAAGTACCAACAAGTAACTCACACAAAACTTTCACTGTACAAAAAGAGGATTATTAAGAGACGTTAACAGTAAAACATGGAACATTTTGGACCATATATATATAGCCGCCTCTTGGAACAAGTTAGTCGACTGACACACATATGCATAGAGCACCTGTTAGCATAACAGGTGCTCCTCTCAGCAGTATAGTGTAGAAGAACACCCGTCATCATAACAAACACCTCTGTCAACAGTCAACTGTAGGAGAACACCAAGATCATGACAGCTAATACAGTATGTCTGTCAACAGTCAACTCTAGGAGACCCTTCACGCGCATGACAGGTACAGCTGTTAACAGTTCTTGGCAGACAACAGGCAAAGCTTTTCAGTGATATAAACACCTAGCAGTTATATTATCTAACAGCCTTCAGGAACAACAAAGCAAGTTAATATTACGAGGACCGTGAGTGTTAATGTTCTTCTCTGGCACAGATCCTTCATACATGACTGTCGCGTTAAATGTGCTATCTCGCATTTTTATATACAATTGCGAGTTACAACTTTGTTAGCAATCAGTAAAACACTAACTCCATATTTAATTCACTAATGAGACTGCTTTCAGACTCTGTAAATATGTTAAGAATTGAGTAAGGAGCCAGTACCTTTGCTTGGCAGTATGTAATCTTCTTCCAACGACAAAAAAAAAAAAAAAGAACTCGTCCCTTTACTTATATTTTCAATTATGTATACAAGGTAACAATAAATAAAAGTATAGTTTAAAATCACAGTAAAGAAGATGACTCGAAAAGTGCTTCAATAGAGCACCAATATATTCAACGTATTCTTTGCACGTTCCACAAAGTCGGTTTCCAGGACATGCAGGACGTTTGTAGGAGTCAGTTCCTTAGATTCTTTAGTACCTCCTACAGGTACACACATCATACCTGGGGTTACCTCTGTACAGCACTTCTTTTTAAGGTTCTACACGCAAAACGTCCTATAGACGATCGTCCCACCTCGGTTCTGTTTCTTTTCAGGTCCTAGACACACACATACATACTTGTATATAATTTCTCATGGAACTTCGGATGTCCTACACATTCATGCACACACATTTTTTTGGAATCAGTTTCTCAGGTTGTGTGTACGTCCAACACACACACACACACACACACACACACACACACACACACACACACACACACACACACACACACACACTTATCACGTTATTTTAGACTTTCTCCATCAGTCCAACTTCCTGGAAAATCTTGTCTGAAACCCTCTCAGAAGTTATTTAATGCTTGATATGAATTCAAGTCTTGATGCTTCACATGACTTCAGTCTTAATGCCTCACATGACTTCACCAGCCTTGATGCTCAACATGACTTCACCAGTCTTGATGCTCAACATGACTTCACCAGCCTTGATGCTCAACATGACTTCACCAGCCTTGATGCTCAACATGACTTCACCAGCCTTGATGCTCAACATGACTTCACCAGCCTTGATGCTCAACATGACTTCACCAGCCTTGATAATGGCAGTGTTGCAAGTGACAAATGTCCTGCAAAAGAAAAAAAGTTCCCTAATATTATCAATCATTGCAATTAATTAAATTCGAAGCGAATCTAAAAGATGAGTAATGACAATATTTGTAAAAAATTATCTCCAGTGTAAATGGCTGGAAAAATGCAACTCTTGATCCAAGGAAATGGTGCTACTCTGCAAATTTTTAGATAAGTTAGGTAAATAGTTATATATATATGTCGTGCCGAATAGCTAAAACTTGTGATTTTGGCTTAAATAGGAACGCTCTTCTTGCCGAATAAGGCAAGCGAAAATTCGAGTATGCAATAATTTAGCAAAAATTGTTCTGAATCTAACGAAAAAAAGGCTTATTTCATTGTGTTTGTTTATTATGAAATTAATGTAAACTTATACAAAATATATTTAGCTGGATTAAGGTAAATTAAATTGTGCTTCTTAAAATAAGGTTAGGTAAGTTTTCCAATGTTCTTTTGGTACAAAAACATTTTTATATTAAAATAAATGAAAAATGTATCTTTAAATGTATAAGAGAAAATTTTAGAAAGGATTTAATTTTAAATAAGTTCTTACTAATCAACGAGTTTTACCTATTCGGCACAATATATATATATATATATATATATATATATATATATATATATATATATATATATATATATATATATATATATATATATATATATATATATATAATATATATATATATATATATATATATATATATATATATATATATATATATATATATATAATATATATAATATATATTATATATGTCGTGCCGAATAGGCAGAACTTGCCTAGAGTCATCCACACCATCGTGTGTCCTTGGGTAGCGAGTACAACAATCAGTTCCGTTAGGTGCGTTACTCTTAAGGATCGTATGGTCCAGTGGATAAGGGCATCATGTGTTTTCGCCCACCATGAGGCAGGCCAAAGCAGCATGGGTTCGAGTCCTTGGCTAGTGTAGTGTTGTAATTGATCAATACCACTCGTTCGTGGTCACAATTATATATATACGCTCATCTTGCTATATAAGAGAAGCGAAAATTTGTGTATGCAATAATTTCGCAAATATCACTCTGAACCTAACGAAAAATATATATTTCATTGTGTTTGTTCAGTATTAAATTACTGTATACGTATCTAAAATATATTAAGTTGGATTAGGTTAAAATATATTGCGCTTGTTATAATAAGGTTAGGTAAGTTTTCTAAGATTCTTTTGGTGCAAACATTCTGCTCTTGACTCTCGCCCAGGCAGGTCATAGCAGCTCTCCTTACTAACTCGGTCTCCCTACGATCCCCGTTGGGGAGGGGAACCTTTACCAGCGTTGTCATCGCCTTGACTTACACGATGAGCTACGCAAATCGTGTAAAGATCAAACCAAGAAATGGTACCGTTGATGATTCAACGAAGATTGCTCTTGCAACTGTTGTTCAGGGAGCACTGGAAGTAAAATTCAACACCATATTGTCACTGAAAGAAGCATTCATTGTTGTGTGTCACGATGATGCTGAAGCAGAGAAGCTACTCACTACAGAAGCCATCACTACTCTTACTACTCAAGGGTTTACTGTTACGTCATCTCCTGCCCTCAGGGCAAGGAAATCAGTATTCCTAAAAAAACTGGACAAGATTCTGACGTCTCAAACACCTGCTGAACTCAAGTCATCCATCGAGACGCAAAATACTTGGGCTACTGTTGACAGCATTACAAAAATCCCAAATGCAACGTCCATGCTCAAGGTCACCTTCACCGACGTGAACATGGCTGCCACTGCACTGAACGAAGGTCTTGCTGTCTACTACTACTACATCAGTCCCACCTACATTGAAGCAGAGAGATATCACTACATCCAACATTGCTGGGACTGTTATTCATACCATCACACCACCAAAGCATGTCCAGTAAAAGACAAGAAGTTCTGCACTACATGTGGTAGTGAGGGACACACCTTCAGTTCCTGCACCGCTGCTGCTCCAACACAACCAGCGTGCTTAAACTGCAAGAGTAATGATCACCATACACTGGCAGCAAAATGTCCTACAAGAAAGGATATTATGAAGAAAACACAAGATGCAGCAAAGAAAAAACCTACTAACAACACTCCAACGTATGCAGCAATTGCAAAAATACAAGCAGACACTACAAAATTACTTCAAACATCTACTCAGCCCGCCTCCACCACCACCACTACCATCACTCCTCCAACATGTGACGTAACGAAGATTCACTACTGTCTACTATACGCTCATATGCAAAACATGGCTGTACCTGGATCATTTAACTCTACCATCAACGAGTTATTTGCATTAAATAACATGCCTTCATTTACATTTCCAGCATCTCCACCTTCTGAAGAAATTCTCAAATTCACCAAAAACTTAATCGCCAACTCTTCTGCAGAAGTTCCATCAACACCACCAACTAGTGACGTCAATCCAACAACGACCAATGAGAAGCCTCCACCGCCACCACCTCTCACTGAATCCAACCAATCAGAAGCCTTACCACCAGAAACATCTAATTCGTCTACTGAAGTTGAAAACGAAGCAACACCACCTTCCTCTACTCCACCACCGCCTTCTCTACTTAGCTCACGTCGATTACCTGGAACACCATGGGTTAAACACAAAGGACTCATATTCTACACAACGAGGCTGTACCCTGCAAGCATGACTCGCCTAGAACTCATCCAACATCTCCAAGACAACACTGTATCGTACCAAAGCGAAGAAAGACCATTCCCTACCTACAACCAGATACTCCACCAACTCCAAACCAACGAATACTACTACAGCTCTCCCATAAGTGTGATACAACTCTCTCGAAAACAATTTACCGCACTGATAAACGGTTTAAGACCATAACCAACTCATCCTGCTTGCTGCCTTCTGACACTCCCAGCTCCTACCGCTGCCTTCGCCATCCTCTCCTAGTGAGCCAAGCAATGACATCAGTCAAGCCTCTCTATCTACGTCTCCAGTACTTTTGTACCACATGTCCCAAAGTGGTTGGGCCACTTGCCTTGATTCCTCCTCTTCCCCTCCTCCCCATCCTTTTCCAGTTATTTTCCATCCTTCCTTATCCTTCTTCCTTCCCATCTTACGACAGCTCTCGTCGTCCTCGATTCGATTCGATTCGATTTGGTGCAAAATTATAAATTTTTATATTAACATTAATGAAAAAAATATTTCTTTAAACGTATTAGAGAAAGTTTTTGAAAGGACTTAATTTTAAATGAGTTCTTGCTAACAGACCAGTTTTACCTATTGAATCTGCATCAATTCTTCTCACCGAGTTAACTTTCGTCAACAATTGCCTGGCTGGGCGAATCCCAGAAGAAATTAAACCTTTCTTTTTTGGATTATTATTATTATTATAATCAAGGGGGAAGCACTAAACCCGTAGGATTATACAGCGCCTAAGGGGGGATGGAAGGCATTCAGGCTTAATTCAAGGAACTGGAGCACAGATCCAATTCCCTAGATCAAGAGCCGCTCACCAGCGTCAAGGAGCCTCACTATGTGCTTTGAAGAAGAGGGATGGGGGAATCAGACCCATTGCGGGTCTCTCAAGGCAGTGAAGCCGCAGCTCATGCCGCAAGGGCCTACATCAAGAACCTACCAGAAGACAAGGCCATAGTCAAACTTGATTTTAGAAATGCCTTTAATATGGTGAAGAGAGATGCTGTCTTGCCAGCTGTTCGGGATCGGTTCCCCAGTCTTTTTCCCTTCATTTCAACCGGCTACAACAAACCCTCAATTCTTTTGTTTGGAGAACATGAAGTTCAATCATCAGAGGGTGTTCAGCAGGGTGACCCACTCGCTCCACTTCTCTTCTGCTTGACAGTAAGAGAACTAACTTCCAGCCTACGCAGTGAGCTCAATATCTGGTACCTGGGTGACGGCACTCTGGCAGGTACTGAAGAGTCCCTGGTGGGGGACCTACAACTGGTGAAAACACAGGGAGAAGACTTGGGACTCATCCTCAATCCCTCCAAGTGTGAAATCATCACAGCGAACCAGGAAATGATCAATGCTGTGCGAAGAATCCTCCCGGAGGTCTCTACTACCACTCCGTCCAACAGTACCCTCTTGGAAGCACCGCTGGGTCACCAGGCCATCGACACTGTCCTCAGGGACAAATTGAATGACCTGCTGAGAATGGAGGAGAGAATAAGTGATCTTGATGCCCATGATGCTCTGTATCTCCTCACAAGGTGTCTTACTCTGCCAAGACTCACTTCCTGAGATGTGCATCATCTTTTGACAACCCAACACTCGATGAAAATGATGCACACCTGAACCTGTCACTAGAGGATAAGCAATGGGATCAGGCAACCCTCCCAGTGCGACTGGGAGGTATAGGGGTGCGCAAAACAATGCATGTTGCTTTACCTGCTTTTCTGTCTTCGTGTTTGGCTTCCAGTGCATTAGTCAAGAAGTTAGTTCCCGAACGCTTGAGAGACGTGGTAGGAGCTCAATACCCCAGGTTTACTGAAGCAGCGATTCGGTGGGACACCCTTACAGATTCCTCCAGTAGACCAGTTCCTCCCAAAGAGTACAAACAGTCCCACTGGGACAAACCGATCATGGAAAAAATCGCCAACACAATGCTCTCCAATGCTTCAGGAAAGAACAAAGCTCGTCTCCTGGCAGTGAAGGCACCACACTCAGGAGATTTCCTGTTAGCTGTTCCCAATTCCACCCTGGGCACCCGTCTCGACCCACAGGCCTTTCGGATTGGTGTTGCTCTTCGCCTAGCCGCCCCCATCCTCACGGAACATAGGTGTATTTGCGGCAGGGCGACAGCTTCATGGTCTCGTGTGTCACACAGCAGAAGGGAAGTATGCCAGACATGGGAAGGTCAATGACATCATAAAGAGAAGCCTCGCAACAGCCCGTTGCCCAGCTCAACGGGAACCCCAAGTACAGAGGTCTGATGGAAGTCAAAAGCGTCCTGATGGAGCCACTACGCTATCCTGGAAGGATGGAAAGCAGATTGCCTGGGACTAAACCTGTGCTGCCACATTGGCAGACACCTACTTGCCATACTCCGTAGTGGAAGAGGGTGGAGCTGCCAGCCACAGGGAGACCCAGAAGATCCGAAAATATGAAGACCTTCCCCCTTGCTATAACTTCATTCCAATAGGGTCGGAGACCCTTGGAGCATGGGGCAAGTGTGCTATAAAGCTCCTCAAAGAGCTGGGTGAAAAGCTCATCATAGAAACCAAGGACCACAGGGCGACCAGCTTCCTCTTTTAGAGACTCAGTGTTGTGATCCAGAGAGGAAATGCCTACAGCATTCTGGGCACGCGGCCCACCGCAGGGAAGCTGGACGAAGTATTCGAGCTGTAGCTCTGAGTTACCTATGTTGTTTTACTTTCTGTTGTATTTTTGTGAATGTTTGGCCAATGTATTTTGTCTTTAAATAAAACATACTTGAAATATGGAGGGTGGTAGGAGAAATTTCTCAAACAGCTTCAGGGAGAACCTTGAGTTTTCCCTGAAGCAAGTTTATTCTTTTCTCTGAGGATGAGGGTCCCTATAACAGTTCTAGAGGTGGTACCTCCCTATATTATATTTTATATATATTTATATATATATTTTATATATATATAATATATATATATATATATTATGTGTGTGTGTGTGTGGTGTGTGTGGTGTATGTCGTGCCGAATAGGCAGAACTTGCGATCTTGGCTTAAATAGCAACGCTCATCTTGCTATATAGGAAAAGTGAAAATTTGTGTATGCAATAATTTCGCCAAAATCATTCTGAACCTAACGAAAAAAATATATTTAACTGTGTTTGTTTAGTATTAAATTATTGTAAATAAATCTAAAATATATTTAGTTGGGTTAGGCTAAAATAAATTGTTCTTGTTATAATAAGGTTAGGTAAGTTTTCTAAGATTCTTTTGGTGCAAAATTATAAATTTTTACATCAGCATTAATGAAGAAAATATATCTTTAAAAGTATAAGAGAAAATTTTAGAGAGGACTTAATTTTAAATAAATTCTTGCTAATTGACCAGTTTTACACATGTGGCACGACATATATAAAATATATATATATTATATATATAATATATATATATATATATATATATATTATATATATATATATATATATAAATATATATATATATATAATATATATAATTTACTGCGCATTTACTTCAAGAATGAAGCTTTTTCTTTTTTTTTAATACACATCATTATATGCTACTGGAAACATAAACATCATTATATGAGTACTGCAAAACTTCCAGCAGGTTTGGAAGGTTTCGTGTATTGCGATTTTGCTAAGGATAGGACGTCCAGTAAGTCTGGAGTTTCAAGCATATTTTCGTGGCAATTTTTCCCTCCTGGAATGAGAGTTGGCTAACACACAGGTACCTGCTTATTCCATATGAGGAGAGGCAACAGGGCTGTGAAAAGCTTCCTATTTGTCACTGCTGCTGCTTCTGTAGCTATTGTTGCCTCCATCTCCGTTGATTTTACACTACACTGCCACCGCCGCCACGCCATCCTGCCATTATCATTGCCAATATCTATCTCCATCACACCTGCCTGTATGTGAGGAATAAAGTAAGGAAAGCTACAGTGAGAAAATTTCTTAACAGTAACAGCAGGGAAACTATGGAGGGTCACTGTGACCACAAGGATGGAGGCTGCAGATCATTATTCTAACCATAAGGATGGAGGCTGCAGATCATTATTCTAACCATAAGGATGGAGGCTGCAGATCATTATTCTAACCATAAGGATGGAGGCTACAGATCATTACTCTAACCACAGGGATGAAGGCTACAGATCATTACTCTAACCACAGGGATGAAGGCTACAGATCATTACTCTAACCACAGGGATGGAGGCTGCAGATCATTACTCTAACCACAGGGATGGAGGCTACAGATCATTACTCTAACCACAGGGATGAAGGCTACAGATCATTACTCTAACCACAGGGATGAACGCTACAGACCATTACTCTAACCACAGGGATAGAGGCTACAGATCATTACTCTAACCACAGGGATAGAGGCTACAAATCATTACTCTAACCACAGGGATGGAGGCTACAAATCATTACTCTAACCACAGGGATAGAGGTTACAGATCATTACTCTAACCACGGGGATGGAGGCTACAGATCATTACTCTAACCACAGGGATAGAGGCTACAGATCGTTACTCTAACCACACAGGGATTGAGGCTACAGATCATTACTCTAACCACAGGGATAGAGGCTACAGATCATTACTCTAACCACGGGGATAGAGGCTACAGATCATTACTCTAACCACAGGGATGGAGGCTACGTATCATTACTCTAACCACAGGGATGGAGGCTACAGACCGAATTCATGACAATCATATACGCAAGACGGAAAGAAAGATCTGGTTGAAAACTTGGGCGACAGCAAACATTGCAGTGGAGAAGAAACACTGATGACAGCCACGATTGATGGACACACACCACACAAGAGCCTATGTATAAAATTATCGCCTGGCGAATACCAGTAAAGGGGGCTATGCATGGAGTCCTGGATTACACGGAGTGCCACTAAGATTAAGCAGCTCCTGATTTTTTTTTTTCAGTAGAGGTATCACTCTGGTTGAAAAACGGGATGGGATACTACTAGCCTTACAGCTGTGTTTTATCTCAGTGTGTGTGAACATAAGACACAAAGTATCATTACCATATATATACAACTTAGCTTAATTAGGAAGGATTATGCAAAACAATCCATGTACAAATTACTAAGAACAGGTTAGAGAGGATTTCCCATTGCCATACCAAACTTCTGAGTGTAAAACTCGTCATTAAACACAAATTTTGCATCAACAATACAAAGTTTAATAAGTTTAATGATAGTAGGATGTGTCAATGGTAAATCGTAATTGACAAATTCTTCAGATAAGAAATTTAATAAATCATCAACTGAAACTTTTGTAAACAAGGAAGTGACATTAAAACCAACCATGTTAAAATCATTTAAGTCAGTCAAGGTGCTTAATTTATCAACTAAATCTATGTTGTTTTTAACATTAAAGTTAGAAATTATACTCACTAAAAATGGGTATTCTTCTCATGTGCTTTGATCATATAAGAACAGATTTAGTAGCTGTTACAACATCAGCCTAAATATTTAAACATAATTTTTCCATTAAATTTTTTTAATATTCCTCAAGTAGATGATCGACTCCCGACGTTGATGCTCGACTCCCGACGTTGATGCTCGACTTACGACGTTGATGCTCGACTTACGACGTTGATGCTCGACTTACGACGTTGATGCTCGACTTACGACGTTGATGCTCGACTTACGACGTTGATACTCGACTTAGGACATTGATGCGTTCCCAAAAATTCATTATAAATCGATTGTTTATTCAAAACGCTTTTATCCCCCTAGAAACTATATAAAATGGATTAATGCCTTAGTTTTTCGTTATCTAATTTCAGTTAACATTCCATCAACATAATTTATCCAACATTTTATCCTCAATATGCCTCAGCAGCATAAACAACAAAACACTATGTTTACTATAAAAAAAATAATCAAAGGAAAAGAATATAATTAAAATTTCTAACAATAGGTTGCATACAGTGTTTATCTTATATGTTGATCCTGTTTTCCGGACTGGAGAGCATGCTCCTATTTTCTCTCTCTCTTTTTTAGCGTCGTAACTAGTTACCGCTGTCGGAAATGTGAGTTACTTGTTCGTAAGTGATTAAATGGTTGCAGAAGGCCTGTGTTGTATGTGTGAAACATCGTAAATCAGATCATCTTCAGTCGGAGTTCTACTTATGTTATTATTATATAATTATTATTATTATTATTATGAGCGGCTCCAGGGGGCTGATGGAGATCAGGGAAGGCTTTGAATAAAACCCTTGTCCACTGAACATAATAAACCATGAATAGACTCATCAGCGAAAGTAAACCTTTAATTGATGGGACGCTATTCAATATATGGGAGGCTATATATGGAAGCCATGATGGAAGGGACTATTAAAATGGAGAAGAATATTGAATGTAATCTTCACGGATGAAAATAAAATAGAAATTTTCAAACTGAAGTTTGAACAAATTAAATTGATTTTGATTTTACTATGACATGCATTTTTGATGTTCTGGTGAGAAACATGAGAGTATCTGTGTTTCCACAGCTCACTCACATGGCCCATAACACTCACTAATTTAACCTGCATTATCCGATAACTGCTTTTACGAAAAAAAATGCAATCTTTGGCACTGGTAAGACAAATACAGTCCGTTTAAAATTGTAATCAAGCTTACAGAAAAGTCTTAAATAGAAAGCAAGCTTCATTACCACGTGGGTAGCCTAGTGGGAACGAACCCAAGGCTATCCACATGGGTAGCCTGGTGGGAACGAACCCATGGCTATTCACGTGGGTAGCCTGGGGCTTACTTTAATACAGAGCCTTATTTATACAGTCATTATTACCTTAGAGGGCAGGTAGGGCCCAAGGGACGCCGCTGCTACTGCTGCTGTAACTGTTGTTGTTGCAGCTGTGGTTGCTGCTGGTGTTGTTGCAGCTGCTGTTGTTGCCGTTGACACTGATGCTCCTGAGTCTGGGGATCCTGCTGTTGTTGCTGCTGCTGCTGCTGCTGCTGGCTCTGGAAGTGTTGCTGATGTTGAGAGCGTTGCTGCTGTGGCTGTTGATAATGTTGTTCTTGATTGACAAAATGCTGCTGCTGCTGCTGTTGTTGGTAAAGATGCTGTTGAAGATGTTGCGGATGCTGATAATGGTGCTGGGGATGCTGGTAGTGCTGGTAATACTGTTGATGCTCTTCCTTCTCGAGGAGATGCTGCTGATGCTGCTCACGCTGTTGCAACTGCTGTTTCTGTTGTTGTTGCTGCTGCTGCTGCAGCTGTTGTTCTTTCTGCGTCTGCTGCTGGTTCTGCGGCTGTTGTTCCTTCTGCAGCTGCTGCTGTTTCTGCTGAAACTGCTGCTGTTTCTTCTGTAGCAGCAGCGGCTTCTGCTGTTGCAGCTGCTGTTCCTCCTGCTGTTGTTGCTGCAGCAGCTGAGGGCGAGGGTGAGGCTGGAGACGACGAATCTTAGGGGAAACGAACATTGCGGGGGATTCTGGCGAGAGAAAAGATCTGATAAAGTGCACTGTGACATGGAATTAATTCTCCCTTCACTCTTTCTTCATTCTGTCTTCACACACGCCCTTCATTCTACCTTTACCCTCACTTTTCCTTCATTTCTAATGCAAAGTATCATTTTTAGGGGCGTTCTACTTATTTTTTAAATAATTTATAAAAAATAGTGAGGCTCAAGTTAGAGTATGTAGGAAAGAGGGAAATTTTTTCCCAGTAAAAGTAGGCCTTAGACAAGGATGTGTGATGTCACCGTGGTTGTTTAATATACTTATAGATGGGGTTGTAAGAGAAGTAAATGCGAGGGTCTTGGCAAGAGGCGTGGAGTTAAAAGATAAAGAATCACACACCAAGTGGGAGTTGTCACAGCTGCTCTTTGCTGATGACACTGTGCTCTTGGGAGATTCTGAAGAGAAGTTGCAGAGATTGGTGGATGAATTTGGTAGGGTGTGCAAAAGAAGAAAATTAAAGGTGAATACAGGAAAGAGTAAGGTTATGAGGATAACAAAAAGATTAGGTGATGAAAGATTGAATATCAGATTGGAGGGAGAGAGTATGGAGGAGGTGAACGTATTCAGATATTTGGGAGTGGACGTGTCAGCGGATGGGTCTATGAAAGATGAGGTGAATCATAGAATTGATGAGGGAGAAAGAGTGAGTGGTGCACTTAGGAGTCTGTGGAGACAAAGAACTTTGTCCTTGGAGGCAAAGAGGGGAATGTATGAGAGTATAGTTTTACCAACGCTCTTATATGGGTGTGAAGCGTGGGTGATGAATGTTGCAGCGAGGAGAAGGCTGGAGGCAGTGGAGATGTCATGTCTGAGGGCAATGTGTGGTGTGAATATAATGCAGAGAATTCGTAGTTTGGAAGTTAGGAGGAGGTGCGGGATTACCAAAACTGTTGTCCAGAGGGCTCAGGAAGGGTTGTTGAGGTGGTTCGGACATATAGAGAGAATGGAGCGAAACAGAATGACTTCAAGAGTGTATCAGTCTGTAGTGGAAGGAAGGCGGGGTAGGGGTCGGTCTAGGAAAGGTTGGAGGGAGGGGGTAAAGGAGGTTTTGTGTGCGAGGGGCTTGGACTTCCAGCAGGCATGCGTGAGCGTGTTTGATAGGAGTGAATGGAGACAAATGGTTTTTAATACTTGACGTGCTGTTGGAGTGTGAGCAAAGTAACATTTATGAAGGGGTTCAGGGAAACCGGCAGGCCGGACTTGAGTCCTGGAGATGGGAAGTACAGTGCCTGCACTCTGAAGGAGGGGTGTTAATGTTGCAGTTTAAAAACTGTAGTGTAAAGCACCCTTCTGGCAAGACAGTGATGGAGTGAATGATGGTGAAAGTTTTTCTTTTTCGGGCCACCCTGCCTTGGTGGGAATCGGCCAGTGTGATAATAAAAAAATTAAAAAATTATAAAAAGTAATTTGCATGTTGTGTATTGTAATAATTATAGCCAGCAAATTTTTATGCGAGCATCGCTGATGAGTAGGTTGCAGATGAATGGTGCAACATATTTACAGGATGATAGTAGGCTGTGACAACAACCAGATGTATGGTGTAACATATTTACAGGATGATAGTAGGCTGTGACAACAACCAGTTGTATGGTGTAACATATTTACAGGATGGTAGTAGCTGTGACAACCAGTTTTTATGGTGTAACATATTTACAGGATGGTAGTAGGCTGTGACAACAACCAGATGTATGGTGTAACATATTTACAGGATGGTAGTAGGCTGTGACAACCAGTTGTATGGTGTAACATATTTACAGGATGGTAGTAGGCTGTGACAACAACCAGTTGTATGGTGTAACATATTTACAGGATGGTAGTAGGCTGTGACAACAACCAGTTGTATGGTGTAACATATTTACAGGATGATAGTAGGCTGTGACAACAACCAGATGTATGGTGTAACATATTTACAGGATGATAGTAGGCTGTGACAACAACCAGTTGTATGGTGTAACATATTTACAGGATGGTAGTAGGCTGTGACAACAACCAGTTGTATGGTGTAACATATTTACAGGATGGTAGTAGGCTGTGACAACCAGTTGTATGGTGTAACATATTTACAGGATGGTAGTAGGCTGTGACAACAACCAGATGTATGGTGTAACATATTTACAGGATGGTAGTAGGCTGTGACAACAACCAGATGTATGGTGTAACATATTTACAGGATGGTAGTAGGCTGTGGCAACAACCAGTTGTATGGTGTAACATATTTACAGGATGGTAGTAGGCTGTGACAACAACCAGTTGTATGGTGTAACATATTTACAGGATAGTAGTAGGCTGTGACAACAACCAGTTGTATGGTGTAACATATTTACAGGATGGTAGTAGGCTGTGACAACAACCAGATGTATGGTGTAACATATTTACAGGATGGTAGTAGGCTGTGACAACAACCAGATGTATGGTGTAACATATTTACAGGATGGTAGTAGGCTGTGGCAACAACCAGTTGTGTGACAATTTGGCTTATGAGATAAAACTGAAGAAACTAAAAATGAGAAAATTTAAAAATAGGAATCTGATTTGTGCGTGTGTGTGTGTATGTAGGTTGCCAAGTGAGTTGGATAATTTCTAACACCACTAGATGGGTCATGGATATACGTTTGTAAGTGATGGAGTTTCTTAATAGGAACATTACCATAATCTGTAATTTTAGTAAAGTGCCTATTGTGAATTTTTATTGTACGTATTAATATCTTTCTATGGTGAACAATAATAGTTAAATGAATTTTGAATTCTATCTTCAACAATTTTAATATTTAATAATTGGAAATGGTATATATTATATATATATATATATATATATATATATATTATATATAATATATATATATATATATATATTAATATATATATATATATATATATATAATATATATTATATATATAACAGTAAAGTTGAGTTTGAAGAAAATAACTCATTGCCTTTTCTAGATGTTTTAATTATTAAGGGTAATAATGAATTCAAATTTAAAATTTACAGAAAACCTACAAATAACTGTTCCTATGTCCACTATTATTCCTCGCATCAAGATAGAGTCAAACTGTCTGTTTTTTCATCAATGTTTTTGAGAGCTTTACGAATTTGTAGTCCTGAGTTCATAGATGAGGAAATATCCGAAATTTATGAAATAGGTAATGATTTAAAATACCCAAGAAATGTAATTGATAAATCTTTTAAAGTTGCTAGAAATACTTTTTACAATCCAAAAAGGGACAACCAGCCTTATTCAACTAAAAATATGTTGGTT